GGACTGATGGGATCATTCTTATAACCTTCTCTGACTAGGTACTCGCTTAATCTATTGTACCACATGCGTCCACTTTGTTTCAGTCCATAAAGTGATTTGTTCAGCCTTATGCAGTATTGGTCTCGAGACCCTTTCTTATCTTTATCTTTGAGCTCAATACCCTCTGGTAATCTCATATATATCATCCAGTGGACTTATATAAATATGCAGGCATTACATCCATTAGCCGCAAATCAAGTCTTTTTCTTTATATAGCCAGACTTAGCAAAATTTAAATGTCTTAGCATCCACCACAGGGGAGTATGTTTCTTCATAATCTATCCCCGGTCTTTGTGAGAATCCTTGTGCTACAAGTCGTGCCTTATATCTCACGATTTCATTATTCTCATTTCTCTTCTTCACAAAGACCCATTTGTGTCCTACTGTTTTTTACATCGAATGGTGTCCTTAAGGTCGGACCAAACTCATTCCTTTTCTTAATGATTCTTAGCTCCACGTTTTATGGTCTTGTACCATTTAATCAATCAAGTCTTTGAGTGCACTCTAGTATAGACGTGGGCTCCTGATCCTCATTTATATTCATAAATTCAAGTGCTACCTTGCATGCAAAATCATCTTATGTCGACATTTCTTATATGTTCCATTATGTTCCAGACATGATATAATCGATTTGAGATTTATTATGGTCAGGACCTTTAATACTTTGCAGCTTGGCGTCCCAAGCTACATTATATGGTACCTGTACCTTAGAGCTGGCCGGCCTTATCTCCATGTCTGGGATGGTTTCCTTAGTAACCTCGGATTCCTATTGCACCTTTCTTTGATTTTCGAGGATTTTTATCTTTGGAACCTATTGGTCTACCACGTTTCTTTCGTGTGTTAGACTCGGTAGCAATTTCATTGATTCCCTTTTGGATATCAATACGTACTAGTGCATTACAAGCTGGTATGTACGTTTTTGTAACTTTCTTTGGGTCAGTAAAGGAATCTGGCAATTGATTAGCTAGCTTTTCAAATGTATAATCTTATGGACCTCTGATTCTCATGCCAGAGTCCGAGGATCTTGCCAATTTAAGGATGTTTGATTCCATTATATTTCTTTTATTGCTTTACCCAGCTTGTTCGTCTCTCCACCTATAGTAGAAAACTCGGATTCATTAAAATGACAATCCGCGTATCTAGCTTTAAATAGATCACCCGTAGTTGGCTCTAGATACTTAATAATGGTGGGAGAATCAAATCCAACATATATTCCCATCCTCCTTTGAGGTCCCATCTTTGTTCTATGTGGTGGAGCAATCGGTATATATACGGCACACCCGAAAGTCTTTAGATGGGATATGTCTGGCTCATGACCCATGAGTAATTGGGATGGTGAATATCTATGTTCACTAGATGGCCTTATGCGTATAAGTTCTGATGCATGTAAAACAGCGTGTCCCCAAGCGGCTACTGGAAGCTTCGACCTCATGAGTAATGGTCGAGCTATCAATTGAATTCGTTTAATGAAGGATTCCGCTAATCCATTCTGTGTATGTACATGTGCTACGGGATGTTCCACACTTACCCCCATGGACATACAGTAGTCATTAAATGCTTGGGACGTGAATTCACCGGCATTGTCTAGACGTATAGTCTTAAGCGGAAAAATCTGGAAAGTGGGCTCGCAGTCTTATTATCTGGGCCAATAACCTAGCAAACACTTGGTTTCTAGTAGATAGGAGACAAACATGCGACCATCTTGTCGATGCATCAATGAGGACCATACATATATCTCCTTGTATCCTTTCCAGAAATTTTAAGGTCTCTTTATTTACCTTAGCCGGTGATGGCCTTATAATGAGTTTCCCTTGTGAACATGCTTCACACGTGAGATTCTTAGGGATAACTCTTTTCTCTTTTAGGGTGTGCCCCTTTGAATTTATCATAAGCTTACGCATCATACTATGACCCGGATGGCCAAGCCGGTCATGCCATAAAATGAATTTCTCGATGAACTCTTTGTTCATTGCCATATTAGCTTCGATCATATCGATTTTAACATAATAGAGACCAGTGGATAATGCGGGTATAGTCTCTAGGACTTTCTTATGTCCTTGGGTGATCTCAATTATATTTAGGAATTCTTTGTTCCCTTCACCCTTTGTTTCAATATGGAAACCATTCAATCTTATATCTTTGAAACTTAATAAGCTCCTCTTCGAGCTGGGTGAATATAGGGCATCGCTTAGTTCAAGATGCGTGCCATTTGGTAATAGAATATGGGCTTGGCCGTAGCCCTCAATAAGATTTGCTATACCCTCTAAGTGCTAATATTGGCATTTTTCATTATGAGATTTAGGAAAATATCTCTTATCTTTTGTGTGGCTCCACTATCCACCACAATTATGTTCTTGTCCTCTGCCATTTCTTATATGGACAAGAATCATGTTCTAAACATAAAATAATATAAAATAAATTCAAGCAAATAACAATCAATGAACACATAAAATGCAAAGAAAAACATAGAGGTTTTGATGTCGAAGTAAAATTTATCAACTTGATTCTTTTATGCAATCAGAAGTTTCATACTCTATTAGATCATCTTGATCATGTTCACCATCTTTATATACCAAATGGGCTTTAGGATTCTTCCCTTTTACACTCTCTTGATAGAGGTCACAACGATGTTTGGAAGTCCTACATATCTTAGCCCAATGGTTTCCCATTCCATATCTATGGCATACTCATTTGGTCGAGTGTTGTGGTTTGGAAATACCACATCGTCCTCGCCCTCGACCACGGCCGGAATTGGGTCTACATCCACGGTTAAAGTGGTTCCCACGGCCGGATGAGTTATAGTGGCCACAACCACGTCCTTTCAATACCACATCTATGGCATACTCATTTGGTCGAGTGTTGTGGTTTGGAAATACCACATCATCCTCGCCCTCGACCACGGCCGGAATTGGGTCTACATCCACGGTTATAGTGGTTCCCACGGCCGGATGAGTTATAGTGGCCACAACCACGTCCTTTCCATCCACCACGGTCACGACCGTGTGGTCTATCACTTTAGACGTGGTTATATTCTTTGGATTCTTTCTTATCCTCTGCGGCCTTATTGGCATTAGGTAATGGGGTTAATCTATGAGGTCGTAACTCACTGTTTTTATCAGTAAGTCATTATTTTGTTCATTTAGCAATAGACTCATCCACGGACTTATAGTCCTGATTATGAGACTCTCAATAAGACGGTGGCTAATATTGCCTTGTATCTATCTTTCTTTCTTGGCATTATTGCCTTATTAGATACATTTACCAAGTCCTTTTGACTTTAGGATAATCTTAGTATCCATTGCCCATTTTAAAATAATTATCTCCTAAGAGATTTAGGGCAGTAAAGTACAAGTTGTAATTCAACATCTACAAGGAAAAGTTTTGAGTCAAAATCATGTAATCGTTAGTGTCATGCGGTATTTGAGACCGAACCATGAATCGATTTACTTAGGGATTTGACTTTCCTCTTTTGCTTAGGATTAGATTTCCTCTTTTGATTAGGATTAACTTTTCCTTTTCCTTTTAGGATTTACTTTCCTCTTTACTTTAGGATTAATTTTTCTATTTCACTTATGATTTTAGATTTTAAGATTTCCTATTTTTTATTTAAGATTTTAGGATTTCTTATTATTCCTAGGATTTAGGGATTTAAGATTTTCTATTATCCCTAAGATTTAGGGTTTTAAAGATTTCCTATTATCTAGGGTTTCCTAGATTTTAGGGTTTCCTATTTTATTTAGGATTTAGGGTTGTTAAGAGTTTTGAGATTTCTTTTAGGATTATCTTTTCTAAGTTTTCTAGGGTTCATGCAATTTTAGTTTTAGGGTGTTAAGCATGTAATCAATCAAAGGAGCAAACAATCTAACAACCTAAACAATCTCAATCAAGCCGATTTAAACTTATGGAATTTTTTGGATTAGATTCGTTTTAGGTTTTAGGTTTTTAGACCTTTAAAGTTTCGGTTATTAGCTTATGTATTTTCGTTTTGCGATTTTAGGTTTAGACAATAAAACTTCTCTAGCAACTTAGGCGATTTTAGCATAAGCAATAATCAACTTTTCTAGCAACCTAAACGAGTCAAACAATCGAGCAAACAAGCAATCGGAGCAAGCAAGCAATCGAATCATACAAGCAAAGCAATCACTTAATCAATCATCATTCGTTTTAGGGTTTCTCTTTGCTTAACTTTCAAGTTCAATTGTTGGTTCTTTAGCTTTAGGGTTTTGATGTTACCTTTCACCTTATGGGGTTGTATGGACTAGAACCGGGAGCTAAAGACCTCGGTAACTCACGCTGCTGCAACGAACCGCAAACAGTACCACGATGAACAGTACCGCGATGAACAGTGTCGCGATGAACAGTGTCGGCGATGAACAGTGTCGCGATGAACAGTGTCGGCGATGAACTGTGTCGGCGATGAACAGTGTCGGCGTGAACAGTATCGGCGATGAACAGTATCGGCGATGAACAGTATCGGCGATGAACAGTATCGGCGATGAACAGTGTCGGCGTGAACAGTACTGCGATTTTTAGGGTTAGGGTTGTTAAGAGCAAACTCGTGCTGATAATGTTGTAAACTTATTGTTTTCGATGTATTAATGAATGAAGTTCGTTACATATATATACTTAATGAGAGGAGACAAATCCTCATTGGGTTAGTAAACCCTAAAGCCCAAAAGCCCACTAAGTATAAAATGGATCCTAAAAGGAGAATCTTCTAGAACATGGGCATGGGCCTTCTAGGACATGGACACGGGCCTTCTAGAATATGCATAAGACCCACGGTTATGGAGTCCATCCAACATGTGGTTTATAACAGTTACAAATTTTATAAAACTTTTGGCGTTTTTAGTTAATTCCAGTAATAATAAATAACTATAATACACAATATAAAATTATTATTTTCAACGTTACGAGTGTGAAACATGACTTTTTGTTTTATATTTAACAAAGTGAAGATGTAAGAAATTATTTCTAATATGAGATATAAGAGTCTAAAGCATCAATCTTTGATAATTAAAATTTTTAACATCAAAATAAGACTTCAATTATCCAAACGATATAGTAAAGAAAGAATTCAACGGAGTCTTCTAGCTTCTCTCTCGGACTCGAGCAGGGTGAGAATATCTCCCTCTCTGACAGGTCCTTTGACATTCCTCATGATGTAACGGTCCGAGTCAGTGAACTTCACTCTAACCTGAGTCACTTGACCCCTTGATCCAGTCCTTCCCATCACTTTCACTACAACAGCGTGCTTAATCTGAGAATCCATTCTGATTCAACAGACAAAAAAACATTCAGATACGAGTTTTGATTTACAAAAAGTGAAAAATCCTGAAAAAAGATAATTGTTTGAATCAAGACTGTATAAAAAAAAAAAAAAAAAAAAAAAAAAAAAACTACTCAGTGAAAGCAAGAAACTTGAAGACGGACATCGTCTAATCAGATTTCTCAATTTGGGATCCTTTGCAAAATGCAGAACCTAATAGCACTAACAAATTTGCAACAACAATTGAATTAAGAAGTTAGAAGATTGATTATGTTTTCGAATAGTTGTCGTTTTAGAGTTTTTTTTTGTTTTAAATAAGTTGTCGTTTTAAGGTAATAATGTAATTTATGCCAATAACTACTCAAATTACCCTTATTTTATTGAACACAAATTATTTGTAAATAATTATTTGTCATTTTTATGAGGTTAATATAGTCATTGTATACCTTTTCTTAATTTGTCCAAATACAGTTAAAACGACAACTTAAAAAAAACAGAGGGAGTATCTAACAAGAAAGAGAGAATCCAGAATCCGAATAACAACAACAATAATGATAAGTCATAAGAAATTGTAACCTATTCATTATAACCAGAAAGCGATAAACATTAAGAGATAAACTTCAAAACCCAGATGCAGAAAATTGAACCAGTTTATAAAATGTAAGAACCCTAACATGCTTAAGCTCAAAATCATGATTTCTCAGTGAATCAGAGAAGCAAAAACATGAAGAATACGATTTAATACTGTCTCTAGACGCAAGAATCGCAATAAAAGTATGGATTGAGATTAAGAGAACCTGTAGAGAGGCTCTGCAACGGTAGATAGCTTTGGCGGCGACAAGAACTTATAGGATATTGACTAGGCCTGGGCATAATACCCGAACCCGAAGAACCGAACCGAACCCGACCCGAAAAATCCGACCCGAACCTGAACCCGAAGTTTTAAAATACCCGAACGGGTTCTAAACTTCACAACCCGAAAACCCGACCCCGAACCCGACCCGAACTCGAACCCGAACAAATATCCGAACATACCCAAAATATAAGTACATAGTTATAATATATTAGTAATATTTATACTTGTAATAACGTAAGTGCCTAAATTATTCGGATGTTAAGATATTTTCGGGTGTTTTAGCTACTTTGAGTTAGATTCGAGTTAAAATACTTGGGTTTTATAGATTTTTTGAGTATTTTTCAATACTTTGCATAGAATCGGATACAAAATTTCTAATATTTGGATACTTTGGGTAAACCCGAATCCGAACCCGAAATACCCGATCCGAACCCGACCCGAACCCGAAGTTTTAAAATACCCGAACGGGTCTTAGTTTTCTACACCCGAAAAACCCGAACCCGAAAAACCCGACCCGAACCCGACCCGAATATCCGAACGCCCAGGCCTAATATTGACCATAAGTCAAAATCAGGTTTAAGCCCTGACCCGGTTTTAAGGCCATAACCAGTTCAATTATATCCCATACCGAACCGGTTCTCTTTCTGTCTTGCAAGGCAATTTTGACGGTTATTGGAGCTTTTCTATTCAACCTCTAATTTCAAACTGCAACAATAATTTGAGTCGTTAATTATCAAGAAAGAAATGTACCCTTATGATTTTTTTTTTTCTTTTTCTTGACGTTTAATTATCAAGCTATAAACATTACTCCCTCCGTTTTCGAATAGTTGTCGTTTTAGAATTTTTTTTTTGTTTTAAATTAGTTGTCGTTTTAAGGTAATAATATAGTTTATGCCAATAACTACCCAAATTACCCTCATTTTATTGAACACAAATTATTTGTAAATAATTACTTGTCATTTTTATGAGGTTAATATAGTCATTGTATACATTTTCTTAATTTGTCCAAATACAGTTAAAACGACAACTTTTAAAAAACAGAGGGAGTATGACTTTAGCATCTCTGTTTTTTTTTTAACATCATCATTCTTATTAATTTTGAATCGAGGAGTAATCCAAACTTACAGCATCTGTAATTACAGCAGGTACATAAGAGTAAAACATGAATTGTAAATCATGAGGGATTCGTGTCTTAGCCATAATGTCCGCCGGCTTATTCTGTTTTCTTTTGACCCATTGAAACCGATAATCTTGAAATCTTTACAAAAATCTTGAAATCTTTTTTTCCATGGTTGAATATCTCTAATCCAGTTGAAAACACCAAAATGAGATCTTCCCCGTTCATAATGTCTGATACCTCCTTTTATCACCTTCAAAGCATACTTTCGTATAGCCGTGGCTCCAACAATTCTTATGCATAGCCAGGGCTGGCTCAACAATTTCAAGGGTTCTAGGGCAAAAAAAAATTTTGGACCCTTAGAATTTTTTTTTGCTGAAATTTTTTTTTCTATACTATTTTTATCAAAAAAATTAATTATTAATACTAAAAACAATAAATAAAAAATTTTATGGGCCCTTCTAAATTTTATTTTTATGTTGTAACCTAATTTTTTTAATATTTTTGTAAAAATATTTTTAAAAATAGGCCCCTTAATTATTAAAACACGGGATTGGACAACTGACCGTCGCATCGTCCGCCCTCTGAGCCGGCACTGTGCATAGCGATGATAAGTGCTTGTAACTCGCTTTCAAGAGCACTAGTCGTGAGCATCTCTGTTTATAACCATTATACTAAAGTCATAAGAATTAACATATAGTAAAAGAATACTAAATTCAAATAGGAATAAACGAATAAATACATCAATATTTTGGAAAAAAATAGAATTAGGAAAACTAAAAAATCTCCTACTTTATTCGATATTATTTGGCAAAAACAAATAATAAGAAATATAAAAGAATAAAAATATAAAATAGCCAAAGTTTGCATAACCTAATTATCTATCCATGAAAAGAATTAAAAGATTATTGAATAAACAAATTAAGGAGTTTATTTATTTTACATATTATATATATTAACAGTACATAATTTCAAAAGAAAATATCAAGTATGGTAAAATGTAAATTCAATTTGACATGTGTGAAAATCTAATTGACAATGACATATGTCAAGATTTATTAATTAAAATTAATTAAATGTCAAATTGTACTTTATGAGATACCTTAAGCTTTATATAAAAAGATGCGTAAAATATATGTACAATTCAATTTAATAAAGCAAATCACATGAGATTTATTCATTGTAAATAGTCTCATCGTTATAATTATGAAGCGCAATTGTCTCGTTGATACAAAAATCAATCTCGAAGCTCATCATCACAACTAAACATAACTATTAATCTTCGAATTAATGGAATAAATTGGTTGGATCTAACTCGAGATCCTCTTGTAGAATGTTAAATGGTTCGTTTGATGAGTGTCAAATGATTTGGAATAGCTATTCCATTGATATTGATTATCTCCAGGTCGACATGATAATGACTATTCCTCATAATTAATGGCGTCGATACTCCCATGGTCCTTGCTCGATCTCATAATACTAAGAAGATGTAATTGGTAGGCTTCCATACGGTCACATTTTCTCCAATTATTTTAAAATTGAGAATTTTCCGTATGCTAGTCCAAGTAAACCACTTCCAACATTGAATTTATTAACAACATTTTGCGCACATCCAAAATTCACAGTTAGCACCGAATATAATTCGTAGTCATCCCTCTCAAATCGTATTATTTCTTTGGCTAAAATGTTGGTGAGAACCATTGAAATATTCTTGGCGATAATGACATCCTCCGGTGCGAGAGATGACTCATAAGAAGAATCGTCACAGCTCACCATCTTGTATGTTGATGATGTTATTGGATCATACACCAAAAGTTTGAAAATTGACATATATTGCATGATTTATATTTAAAATTTAAATCAAATGTAATTAAGTGGGGTGATTGGTAAAGAGACGGCAAATTTATAGACAATCAAAATATATTTAAGACATGATGTATCACATGCATCTTAACTACTAGTATTATTCTCTTCACTTCTATCACACTTCACTTAATCATAAGCTAGTACTTACCTTTTCCATCTCATTAACTTGATACATAATGCAAATGTTTTGCATATCACTTATCCATACCCAATTTTTTACATTTCACTAAATTCATCATCATCAAGATTAAGATTCTTTCCGTTTTCATCTTGGTGATCTTTATCTACTTAATAAATGATCTAAGAAAAAAAAAATTAGTCTCGCATATGTGATTAATACTAGGGATTTCTCTAATTAACTATAGAAGATTATTTTGCTATAACAGTTAGGAAAATGATTCTAAACTTTAGGTATAACGTTTGGTGTAAAATTATATTACATTTGTTACAAAATAAACCCCACAAAATCTCCTGGACCTTTTTGATGTCTCCAACTCCACATTTTATATAATATATATATTTATATACTTTTTATTTTGATAATATATATATATTCATGATAATTTTAGATTAGTAATACTTTTAATCGTTATAAAAAAAAGTAGATATATATATATATATATTGATATTGATGTTGATATTAGATTAGTAGTACTTTTAATCGTTATAAAAAAGTATATATATATATATTGATATTGTAAGAAAATCTATATTACCTGATACAATATCATATTCGTAGTAAATTTCTTATTATTTCAATGAAATTATTATGTATGTTTTATCATCTTTGTAATCATTACATCAAATTACTGATCTTACCGCCTAAATTATATTCTAAATCATTGCTAATGTTCTGTTGTCTATTTTTCATTTTATAGATGATAGATTATATATACTACCTAATTAAAGTGTTATAATAATAATTAATCTTTTTAAGAAATGAAGAATTAAATTAAATATTTTCATGTATATATTGTTATCATGTGGAACTTGATGAGATTTGTATGCATAGAAATGCATATGATGTGGATAATATATTTTCATTGAATATTCATCATATTTTTACAACAAAATTTATTAAATTTACACCTCTATCATGTTAAAACTTTTCTAAGAGGGGAGCGCACTCAATGCCCTACATTGTAAGCAAAGGCAAATGAAATCATCTATTTAGTAATTATTTATTTTATCTTTGGCTTTAATTTTTGCACCAAAAAAAAAAAATATTTGGCTTAGATCATCATTAATCAACATCCACTATTACCAAAGAAAATTAAAAAAAAACCCTGAATATTTCTTCTTTACCCACCCATTGTAGTTTTTTTCTTAATATTTACCCCTCTATATTATCTTTTTGAGTGTACCTGAATCAACAACGGTCAACGAAAATGTTAAAACCCACACTCGGTAAAAAAATAGGTACTGCATGTTTTCCTGAAAGACAAAATTTCTGCCGACCAAAAAAAAAGTAAAATAAAGAATCTAACCCACTTAGTTTTTATCTCTGCTCTATTCAATACGTTAAGTCACTTGGTAAGAGACGAAAAAAAAAAATCACTTGGTAAGAATATCGTATGTATCAGGATCAATATGAATCCATACTTAAAATTCCTCTTATAAAGAGTGGTAAACTTTCGAACTCGTTCTTTTATTTGGCACTCACTTTAGGGGGACGAATACATACAATATTAATCACTCCAAGCAAATCGAATAAATATTTAGAGGAGAAAACGAGAGGTCAGCCAAGCTTATAAATAACTTAGAATTTGGGACGAATTGTAACACCTTTGACGAAGAGCCCTGACTTCCACAGTTGGCACTCGTGTTCGTACATTGCAAAAGAGATTTCCCCAACGTTTTTCATCGATGTGGTGAACTCCCCAACCGAAATTTCGAGCCATTGGTTACTTATATAATCGAACATGTCCACACTTTGTTCTTGCGGTTTCTCCCAAGTATTGGGCAAGTCCAGCTTTAACTTCACCGGTGTCTCCCATTCGAATGTGTATTCCAACTTCACCACAAACACCACCTCATACCTTGTCCTTGGGGACAAATATCGTGTGTCAAACTTTCCAGCTATGTCTAGCCAGCTTGCTTTTTTCAAAAACGCAATTTCCACGACCGATTCACTGCAAAATTTTTTGTTTAGTAATAGATAATAAATCCAAAAAATAATCTGTAAAAAGTATATATTTCGTGTTAGTTTTCTTGCTTGTCACTTAATATTGTATATAAAAAAAAAATTTCACCATTTTTCATGAGTTATTAAAATTTTGTGGTTAAAAAGATTGTATAATAAACCCAATCGATTATTTTTCTTCGTATAGAAAATAACATTATCTAAAAGCACCCCTTTATTTTATTTCACAAATTTATGGAGCATTTTCAGTAATACCAAACTTTGTATTACTTAAAATGCAACAAAAATGTAGGAGACTCTACTAAAATTATAAGGCACTGCTATATTTCAGTTGTATGAAAGATGATTTAAAAGTTTTAAAATAATTCTTTTTTTGTGCCATTTTAAGAGAATTTTTTTGTTTGATAAAAGGCCGCATTATATTTAAGAGATTTTTCTCAATTTATATAATATATACTTTTAAGAGAAGCTTTACTGGTGCACAAAAAAAAAAAAAGAGAAGCTTTACTTTGCTTTTTGGTTTGGGAGAGGGAGCCAGGTCCAATGGTTGGAGTTCTCTGACCATGCAATGGAAAGATCCCTTGCGTCAATCATGAAAACGTTACCCTTCGGTCTCGTAAGGACCCAGAATTTGAACTGTCGATATATAAATCTCCATGTCAGTTCATATAATGATACCAATAAACATATATAAAGAAAATCAACCAAAAAGACAGCAAATTTTATGACCTCGTGTGATGGCCCTGGTGACTGATTCCTCATCTGGTAAAATTCATTTAGCACCGAAACTTGAACAGCTTCCTCACTGAACATAAATAGATCAACATCGAAATGAAAAAAAAGTTCTAAGGAACCGAGACCTAGGGGATCTAATCTTTTCATGCAAATAATTAATGTCATAGTTTCTAATCTATCCTTGAGAAGAATATGTAGACTTTTTTCCTATTATAAATTAGAAAGCAACTGATAAAGGAAATATAGTAGACATTTTATACAAGTTTTTCAAGATTTAAAAAACATGATTTCACTCTCTTTTTTGCCATTCAAAATATATTAGGACATATTGTCCCACATCGAAAGTTGGAAGGGATCCTAAGTAATATATAAGGGATATGGGCCACTCTACTCATCATTGCCAATTGGTTTTGAGTTGGAAGTCCATAGATCTTAACATGGTATCAGAGCCCGATCCACACATGTCCAACCCGATTCGACCAAAAGATGGTCCAATCATCGACAAGGCCCAAAATTGATGCCGTCGATCTAAGCCCGAACATTCCGAGATTAATGGCCAAAGAGCCATCATCTCGAGGGGGCGTATTAGGACATAATGTCCCACATCGGAAGTTGGAAGGGATCCTAAGTAATATATAAGGGATATGGGCCACTCCACTCATTGTCAATTGGTTTTGAGTTGGAAGTCCATAGATCTTAACAAAATATTCATCAAGTTATAATATTTTACAAAAGTGATTATACTAAATGATATTAAAAATATAATTATAAAAATAAAACTTAACAATCTACTACAACAAGCTTCAAGCATTTTATTAGTACTTTGCGGAAATTCTAGTAGCTAAAATGTATTTGCTATTCGATATACCAGTTAAGCCATATGTATGTTTCATCAAAATATCATAAATGTCCTAAATGAAATCATAAGGAAGGCTCTTACTTTGGTGACTCGTGCATAGTGATAGTGAGTTTACTTGTAGGGATCAAGAAACCTTGATCTCCTATTTCTCCATTTCTTCCTTGGGAGAAATTCCGCTGCACTTTTTTAACCGCCTTAACGATTACCTTTACGAAATCTCTATCGGAAGTGTCACTATGATACCAAAAAAAATAAAAAGAGGAAAATGTCAATGAGTCAAAAGACAAAATATTACAGTTTTTGGGAAAAACACAAATTACTAGATATTAATTTGTCAAGTAATAAGAACATAAAAGTGGAAAAATAAAAACCTGTGTTTTGGTAAGATCAAGGCAAACAATTGGCAAACAGAGAATAAAGCTTCCGTCCATTTGTGGAGTTTCTCTGGTTCAGGTTGATAATTATCTACCATATTCCAGAAATTATCGCCGAATTTACCTGTAAGATCTTTCACCACGTCGAGCTCAAGCCTATAGAATATTGGAATGATTTTGAGTCTGTTTTTATCCATGTATTCCTTGATTGTTACCAGCTCGTCCATACACCAATGTGACTCGCAGTATCCCTCAGAAAAGATAACCAAAGCGATTTTCGACTCCCCTATCGTATTAAACAGACTGATTAGGTATTTGCCCCTTTCCTCTTGCTCGTCTATAAACACGTTGATCTTTTCTTTTTTCAAAGCAGGCGAAAGAAAGCTGAGGAAACCTTTTCGTAAATCTTTTCCTCGGAAATTGATGAACACTTGAGGTCCCGTAGGGATCAATGATACATTAGAAGAACAAATAGAAGAAACAGAAGATGCTCCCGACATTATCAGAGAGCTTTTTTCTTAGACACAAAAGGAGTTTGATAGATTCTTGTTTGAATTTGAAAATGTGTTTATCTGTTTGGTTGGGACTTGGGATTGAAAACATGTCCAACTTTTGTGAGATATATAGAGTTCATTAGTCATTAATATTCTAAAAAGATAATTTTTGGTGTTTTGCTTGAAACTTCGGTGGCCAGAAATGGAAGTTGCAAAAGAAGACAGAATTATAGTTGACAACTTGCTCTTTTTTTTGGTCAAAGTTAGACTTATAGTTTACAACGTGTTTCCCCACTCGAACACTAGTCGACTTCTTCGCTGACAAAATCATTCCAAAACGAGTTAGATCTGACTTCTTTATTGTATTTTTTGTTTTAGAGTAAGAGCTGACTTCTTTAGACTAAGAGCTGACTTCTTCTTTGGCTCACGAAAACAGGGGAATCAACATATTCTTCGTAACATTTTAAGTCACTAAAACTCTATTTAAATCATACGTCATGTATTTGCAAGGACACATGGACGAAACGGCGAATCCTTGTTGTAGGAGAGCTCGAAGCTTTGGTCGGGTCATGTAATCCAGGGAGTTTATCCTATTTCAGACAAGCTTTTCAGCTCGCCTAATGATTTGCTACATGGTGAAGTATCCACTTTGATGGATCCGCATGTTTCTCTCCTTCCAAAGGAGGTAGATGGTAGTTTGAAAACAAAGGTGGAGAAGGATGTCATGTAGATGATTTCCAGTCCCTCTCGTCAGTTGCGTCAAAGTCGCCTCCCAATCTGGGTCTTCGCGGTGCCTTAGGATTGATCCCGCTAGAGCTGACCATACATTAAAGGAAAACAGACAAGCGAAGAATAGATGATTGTGAGATTCATCCGGTTCTCCACAAAAAACACATGGTTGATTGAATCCCCAGACCCGCATTCGATCACCCATGGAGAGACGATTGCGAACCGCTAGCCATGTGATGAAATTAAATTGCAGCGAGGCATTCCCTGACCAAACCACCAGATCCGAGCTTTAAATGCAAGAGCCTTGTCCGTCTTAGTCTCCATCTGCGCGGACCGAGGGCATCACGAACCGATGCTTGGATTGGTATCCCAAGAGTTCTCAGCCCCGATTGTCCGGTTATATCCAAACAAAGTGATGTTATTTTAAATTACTTTTTTATAAATGAAGTAAATATATATGACTTAGCATCAATTATATTAACTGATGTCATAATTAATTAGTTTGACATCAATTAAATAAAATTGATTCAATTTTTCAGCAATAAATATAGGTGAAGTCAGCTACAAAAACCTCAAACGAAGCAAGTGAAGAGTTGCTTCGCTAGGAGTACAAGACAAGAGAATAGAAGATAGATAAGGCTTCTTCCTTGATTAAGTGAGCAATAGACAAAGAACTTTGAAGTAACACAGAGGAGTTGACGGAAGCTTCTAAACAAACACGCATACACACATGCAATAATAGTTGGGCGGTAAATGCTCAGTTGATTGTTCCTGGGGTAGGTTGGTTGAGTAGCAAATCCTCGTTCTAGCGAAGCAAGCTTGAAGATTTACTTTTCTTCGCTAGGTCTGGCTAAAGCTCTGCCAGCTTTAGACTGAACTATATTTAGGCTCAGTAATAAGACCTCTTAGCTAGTGGAGATAGATTCCTAAGTAAGCATGGAGTTGAGTTCTCTTTTCTTTTTAATTGTGCTGCTTCTTCTTTAGCACACTGGCTAATTATCACCCGATTGTGCTTCTGCTCAGCACACCCCGAAGTCCTTGGAGTGTCTTCCTCTGCTTGCAAGCTACGATTCTTCGTCACCGACCAGATCGGCTCAAACATAGCATCTTTTACTAGCGAAGCTCCAGGATCTAATCCCTTCTCACTATTTTATTATCCAACCTAATTACTCGCAATGAAGTTTTCTCTAGCAAAGCAAGATCCCACTTCTTTAGCATAAGCACACTCCTTCTACGGGAATGGCTCTCCTCTTTTATCTTTTTAGGGGTTCCAATTTCATAATTAGAAATCTTGAGCAGAGCTTGTGCAGCACATTAGTTCACTCTTTGGCATTCCTTTGAACATTCTACTAGTGGAGCAGCCCTAGCGTAGCAATTTTAGTTTTCCTTCCTCCACACTTTCGGTTGATAAGTCAAGCACATAAAGGATACTTCTTTTCGGATGGATTTATGATGGATGACGGATGTTCCAACAGATATTACAATATGATTTCCTTAATATTTGTCGCTATTTAACTACGTTTAATAACAAATTGTCTTCAAATCGTATTGAATTAAAATATGTCTCTAATTTGTAGATAATATTAGCAAATTGTTTTTACAATAGTTTGTTGTCACAAAACGGATAGTTATATGTACTTAAGACCTATAATTGAGAAAGACAGAGTGCAGACCATTCTCTTGCTCATTAATTTGTCGATTGATTCTGCCTTTTGAATTCGTGTAACTTAATCTTCAGGAGTTTGTTTGATTCTTCCTGCTTTTTGAATTGGTTTCAAGAGGAGTTTATTTTGGAGATAGAGATTGTTTTGTTTGAGTTTTTCTCCTATGCGTAAGCAATTATGTTTGAATATTAAAACTTTGTACAATATATATTAACGTGTATAAAATACATAATATATGCTTATATGTATTATATATGAGTAAGGAAAAACATGTGAATATATATGTATAAACTTAAATTTAATAATATATTTTACAAACTCTTTCCTTTCTAATATATAATACATATAAGCATATATTATGTATTTTAAATATATAAAAATTTCCATTTTACATTTAGTAGATAAATAATAAATTAAAAATGTTGTTTAAGAATTATAAATTGTTATAAATTTATTTTATTTTTAATTAATATTATCATTTTTATATAAAGAAATATTAATTAATCTATAGTAATACACATTTAAAACTTATCAATCACATTTTTTTTTTAAACGCTACAGCCACAATTACCAATCATGCTTTTTTTTATTAAAAAAAAACAAATTACAGTCAAAATACTATAGCTACAAAAAAAAAAAAATCTACCGTCTAAAACGTAAAGCTACAACCATGAACCATAGTCAATGAGACCCTATATCAACTTCCTTTTCTGAGCTTTTGTCAAAATTGTAAAAGATTGTATTTGGCCTAGCTTGATAATGTTTGTCTTACTGCCCATTGCTTTCTGATGTTTAACAAGATACTTTGCTTATCTTCCATAAGTCCTGGCTTGGTTCATTTTTTGTACTCGGCTCCAAAATATATCGGATTATACATTTCAATACCCAAATTATCCAGCCTAGTTTGCTAACAGGGCTCATCACGTCCATTCTCCAACCATTAATGAGGGAGAAGTTGAGTTTTGTGACGGTAAACTGCTTAAGCTGGAGCGTGTCAAGCTTAAAAAAATATTGGTGGGGTCCAAAACGAGCTCCTTATTATCAGATTCATCCTAGAGAATTCTCCTATTCTAAAGCCGCTCTCCATCAAACCTCAGGATCCATACATTGATGAGAATGAGGACATGTTACTGAGGATGCTCGAGTTTAAATGAAGTTGTGCTGAAGCTCAAATTATTTTTCATGTGTAGCTTTGCAAGTAAGCCTTGCTGCTTGAAGAGAGAGATAATTCTCCGCCACTAGGTCAACTTCTGTCTCTTTTTTTTTTCCTTTTTTTTTTCTGGCCTATTAAGCATTGCATGGTCAAACTTCTGTGAGAACAAAGCCATATTGGATTGTCTTTTTGTGTATACTCTTGAAAACAAAGCCAAATTCTGAGTTTTTGTCAAAATTGCAAAAGATTGTGTTTGGCCTGCTTGATAAGATTTGTCTTCCACCACTTGCTCTGTGATGTTTAACAAGATGCTTAGCTTATTTTCCATAAGTCCTTGCATAGTTCAGTTTTTATACTCCGTGGATTATACATTTAAACACCCAAATTGTACGTTTCCGATCATTACCCACCATTTCCTGTCCCAATCTCCGAAATGAACACCACTACTCACTAACTCGAGTTTTGATGTGTTTAGATAGATAGTACTACTGGATTATTCAGTCTAATCACTTCTTGAATCACAAACAGAACAAGAATCCAATACGGTTCATGTAAATGTAAACCGGTCAAACTATATACACAAGTAACAACATTTGGGAGATAAAACTAACATTTTAGTTAAAAGCGAGCATTTCCACTTCAAATCTGAGACCAACAACATACTGCGTGTGTTACAACTGAATATACATCAATCAATCTTTGGAGTTAAGCTTTGGTCTGAAGAATATAACTACGAGCACGAGCTGAACAAAAGATACCTAACACTCCAAAATCGAAGCTAATAAACGCGCTTAAGCAGAATATCCAAATCGATATCGGTCCTTCCACCAATTCGTTTTGATATATTTCCTCTTGTGACGCATCAATGTTTGCCGGGTCACACTTGCTTCCGGGAGATTCCATACACAGTTCCGGATTTCCAGCCAAAGCGCCTGGAAACTTTCCAAGCCCTTCTTTCTCGGTAATGATTCCAGAGAAACAGTTGTGAGATAGATTCAGTAGGGTCAGTCCTGGAGGAGCCGAGATGTTTCCAGTGACTTGACCTGACAGAGAGTTGTGTGAAAGATCTAAAGCCTTTAATCTTGGCAGCTTCTCTAGACGCGGAAGCTGACCTTCAAGGAAGTTGTAGGATAAGTTCAAGTACTCGATATTCTTCTGTCTGAACAAAGCTTCTGGGATCTCTCCGTGTAATAGATTGTCAGAAAGATCAACCCCAACCATGGATAATAGATTGTAGCTGAAGCTTAGTTCGTCTTTAGCAACCACAGCTGCTGATATTTTGATCTCTACTTTTCCTGGTGGCTCTGCAAATCTTTCATCTCCACTGGTTTGAAAATCTTTGAAGCGTGTGCTGTTTAAGTTATCGTCTGGTATGAACCAAGAGAATCTGTTGCAGGAGTAGTCGATCATTTGGATTTTGTCGAACTTGAACAACCAAGAAGGAAGTGTTCCACTAAATTTGTTCCGGGCAAGAGAGAGATACTTGAGGTTGGACCATTTGGTAATGGCTTCATTCAGGTTTCCTGAGAGGTTATTGGAACTGATATCCACAATCTCTAGAGACTTCAGGCCAGCCAAAGTAAGCGGTATCTCACCCGAAATCTGGTTGTGGCTTATGTCCAGTATCTTCAAACTGTCCAACGCATCAAGCTCGGGTTGTATTTCGCCCGAGAGATTGTTATTACTAATCATCAGAGCAAGCAACTGAAAGCAACCAACAATGTTGAGAGGTATTGAGCCAGTTAATGCGTTATGGGAAAGATCAATAACCTGG